TTAAAAAAAAAAAAAAGTTTTTATCCATCACTTGAGACTCTGTGTATCTAACAGGATTCAGGGTTCAGATCATTTATACAGCCTGAATAGTTCACATTTTTTGTACTTCATATGTCAGCCCCTTCATACTGTCCAAATGTGCACAGCACATTTTATTTACTATGATTGTGTGACTCCAGATGCTTGAGACTGCGCATTTTAAAATGGAATCCTGGCAAACAGTCTCAACAAAGAGAGGAGGAGGACTGTAACTAAAAGAGTCTATGCTTTAAAGAAAAAAACTAAACAAAACAGATGGTTTCTAATCAGTTTGCCAAAGAATGGTAGAGGGGAGTAGGGTGGGGAGGAAATAGCAACAACAACAAAGAAAAAAAAGACCAAACTTGGTTCATTTCTTGTGGTTGTAATTCTGCTTTCAGTTGGATAATTTAAAAAAGGCTCAGAAAATTACCAAGTCCGGAATTGCTACCCCACATGACCTGGCTCTGGTTCTGGTGGTTTAAAGGAATTTGACTTCAAAAACAGAAAGAATGACTACAGAGTAGAAAGAAGGAAAATGGCATTTAGTTTTAGAGTCTGCTATTTTTAGCTAGCTTCTAGCTCTTTAAGAGACTTTTTTTCTCTTCCCATTAAACTTCAATCTAGCTTGTACAGTTTTCTGACAACAGGATCAAAAGTGCTCACCTACTAACACATACTAAGTGTTAGTACTATATTTGCAAAATTTACAAATTACTATCAAGTGTCCTGAGCATTGGCAGTTTGTTTTCTCCACATTGCAAGTGAACTAATCTCTCATCTGGCCCATCTAATTGTTGTGTCTTTTAAAAGTGCTGCTCCATGAGTCAATGGTAAAGGAAGGTTCTTTAGACAGCAAGTAAAGGGCTGGGTGGAAGAGGGGTGTTCTTCAAGCTACAGAATAGGTATTTTTCATGCCTCTGTCAGAGTCCTATGGATATTCTTACTTCTTTCTTTAGTCTCTGCTTATCCACATTAGGGCTGATCTCCCTCTAGCTAAAACAGTTTGGGTGTGGTTACTTTTGGATTCAGCCAGGGGGGATGTGATGGAGTAGCATGAGATGTACTTTCTGTTGCTTTCTCCCTCTGCTAGTACAAAAAATAGACTGGCCAATCTAAGACGATTATTTTCTTTCTCTCATTTTCATGTCATTACAGTATGCCTCTGCAAACCTCTCTACTAGACCATGAATAAAGAGATCAAATAGCACATTTGGATTTCCAAATTGCTCTGTTTTTAAATTACATTACTTTGGCTTTCCTACATTATAATTTATCAACTTGATTTGTGTAATGATTTCACAATTATAAAACTAGTTGGAATTTCTGGAATTCTAAAATTAGCTTTATTGACATTCCACTACATTTTTAAATGCATTTTTGCAGGCGTCTCTGTATTGCTCATCATGGTAATAACTAAGGACCTCATGGTCTCCAGATTTAAAAAAAATATACTGCTCCCAGTGAGAAGATGGTACTGGTTTAATGCAGTGCAAAAAAAGAATGCAACAACAGTTGTGAGGAAAGGTAAGAGGTATATTATGTTGTAAGCACTGTGGCATATTAGAATAGCTGATAAAAACTGCACTGGGAATTATGAAAAGAAATGAGAGCCGAAGGCTCAATAAGAGAGTGCTACATGCAGCTATTCATGTTTAGGTCAGTAGTGTGAATATTGCTCAGAATTGTTACTGATTCTTGAAAGTCATTAGTTTCTAGTTGGCCGGTATGAAAATAGCTAAGCCCTAATTTCAAACTTAAAGATCTGAATCTGAGTTGATTCTTAGCCCCAAAACATCCATTTTAGCCACCTAACTTGATTGAGCCCTGATATTCTGATTATCAACTATCTCAGCAATTTATTTCTGTGAAGAATTCATTCTTTAAACTAAATACTATGCTCTGGTACTAGGATGAAAGTTGCCATGACTTCATTGTTCTCTTCCTCTTCATTTGTTGTCATCTGTTTCCAGGGACCTTTTATAATGACCTGAGATGCTTGTCGAGTGTCACCCCTGTTTGCTTCAGGGATGCATCTGGTAGCCCTGCCCTGAGTCATGTGCAGTTTTTAACTGTAACGTTTTGTAGGCGAACTGTCAGTGCAGCTTCAGTGCTTTAGACACTAGTTTCTTTGAAGTCTTCACCAAGAATTTCCTTGAAGTCCTTGCTCAAGATCTCTGCACATACGCTTTCATTATTATAGATGGTACATATTGTTCTTATATTCCAACTTGCCTAAATTATGGATAGCTGCTAATATCTCTATATCCATTAGCTGGTCATAGTCTCATATTCTGCCTCTCTTCTCAACTGAAAGCTGGTATTAATATCAATTATAGATGAGCCTGAACCAAAATGAGTTTTGGGACAGTTTGATTTTTTGGGTCTGAATCCAGATTTTGCAACTCAAGTAAATAGCCATGATAGGCCATCCTTTACTGAGCCAAGGACTATTACATTATTAAGATATAACTGAATATTTAAAAATTGAAATATGCTGGTCTTGTTTTATTAAACTGGCAACTATGCAACACATATAAGGAGGAAATGCCTTTCCAGATTCCAGAGACAAACTATGTAAAAGCCACTCCCCTGTATTTTAATGTGATATCTCCAACTTCAATATTGAACATTAGATGTGAATCATTTATTTACATTCTCCTCACTCAATTTTATCTGTCTCGTTAGCTAAATTGACCCTTGCATTGGTATCTGCACCAATGCAAACTACTGCATTATCATCAAAGGGTATAAATTTTGACAAAATATTCATATCTTGGCTATGGGATGGAGTTTACGGTGATTCCATTTTGTATGAAACGTAAGACAAGGAACTCCAGACTTGGCCTAATTTTTAGAGCAGAGAATTAAAACAGGTCTTGCATATATCACATACATATTAGATAGTCTTAATCTTGTTCTTTCTCTGACCAATGAATATTTAATATTTTATACCAATTGGGACAGCATCAAGAGGAGAGAGCAAGTTTAATATTCATCCTATCCATTGACAGTTAGAGCTTTTTTCTAGGTTGTAAGAGAGACAAGTTCAAGTCTCTGTTCCAAATTGGGCTGAGTAGAACTGGGTCTACTCTGGGTCTCCTATATCCAGACAGTACCCTAAACCCTAACTGGCTTTTTTTGGATCATATACACCTCAAGAAAGGCCTCAAACTTGGATCTGTAACATGCTGCTGGACTCCTGGCTGTTGCAGCGCAGCCAACCGGCAGCTGTAGCAATGGCTATTTTTAGACCCTTGACCTCCCAACATGGTGTTCATCTCTGCTGCCTTCATTGCCCCCTGTGTTAGGGTGTGTAAGGATAAAGCTGAGTGAGGCTTTTGCCTCACATCACGATTAGCTGGGCTAGCTGAACCTAAATGAGGGCCAGCTGAGCCCTGGTCCCTTTCTGTTGATGGGTCTGCTTTTGAGGAAATCCTCTAGCACCTAAACCTTGCTGCACAACTTACTGGTCTTCAGACCCTGAGCACTTCCTCTTCTGGTAACTCCACTGCTTTCTGCCCCAGTATCCCTGATTGTGCATCTAGCCCCTTGGAGTTTGGACTTGGCTTGATCTCAGCTTGTTTTCTGATCTATGATTTTGGTTGGTAGTTGGTTGCTGACTCTCAGCTTCTGACCCTCATCCCTGCAATCCCTGGTTCCACTCCTGCCTCTACCCACTACGCTGGACATCCCAGCATGCCATAACAGGGTATGTGCAAACGTACAAATGAACCCAAATAAGTTTAGCAGTTTACTTTGAGCAGTTGGAAACCATACTGGTAGAACATTGTACAAGATTCAAAGGGGCCTGGGAATGAACACTGGGTACCCCAGTTCTACTGGGAGAAGGGGAGGGTCTGTCGTCCTTAGTCCCAGTGTAGGCAGGGCTCATGCACTTTGGGTATGGGTGGGGACAGATCCAGGTCCAAACAAGCAGGACGTGGATCTGCTGGACCCACCCGCTCCCATGCCCAAACTACATGTACCCTTTCTCTGCTGGGACTGAAGACCTCAGACCTGCTGCACCCCACACATACATATGTATGGTCTGGGGTCTTCAGTCCCAGCAAGGTCCAGTCAGTGTCTGGGGAGAGGGAGGAGCAGGGGGGTCTGAAAACAATGGGGCAGGAACAGGTCAGGGGCCAGTTCTAGTGGGTCATTGCCCCTGTCTGCTCAGAGTACCAGGGCTAACAGCTGCCCAGCCCTGGGGATTTCCCTGACCCTCCATTGTCAGAGGTTTTCTGTGTCTTGCATTACAGCCCAAGTCACATACTGTCCCCCTGGAAGCAGTGGGTAGAGAAAGGTACTCTGCAATGCTCAAAATCAGTGCAGGGCCTTCTATCAGTGAGGCAAGAAACTCTATCAGAGAATTCTATCTTGTTCAACAAGGTCGAAGTTTCGACTAAACCCCCCATTTTTGGTCTGATAGAAACTCTTTGAACATTTCTACACTTGGGGTTTTTATTAGTGGAACTACAATTCCACCACTAGAAATGCAATGCTTATATGTACCCTTAGTTATGCCATTGCTTGAGTTCATTGCTCTTTAGAATTTAAACAAATGCTAAACAATGAAAATTTTCATGAACCGTTATTGTTGGTTTCCAGCAAGCCCTTGTGCAAACCCCACCGTAAATACAATTAACACGAGTGCAGCTTATCTTGGTTTGAATGTAGGCTGGGATCAGTTTAACAATCCACTGAGGATTTGCATCATTACAGCTGCAATGGTTCACCTCCGTTCATGGACTAAATCCCTCATTGTGACCAATGCCTTATGTTTAGGAAGTCTGACCTTTGCAAAGGAGGTTTGATTTTAGGATTTAGAGCAAGTATTATGTATAGCTTCAAGCAGAAGACCCGCAGTCTGAATTGAATTCTAATTCTTGTTTCATTTATTATTTCTTTTGACCCTGAGCACTTGACCATGCTGTGTCTTGAATTTCCCCGTTCGTAAAATCAAAATTATGAGTCTTGCCCACCTCCTGGGCTTAGAGCTTGTAAGACATTTTGAAATTCAGAACTGAAAGGCATTGAAGGATATTGTTTGGTACATTTCAAGTTTACACAGCTTTCTTAATGTCTTCTGTATTGCTTGTGAAGTCAGTGCTTTTCATATGGGCTATGGTTCAAGTCATTAAAATCCTTGTATCTTTCTTTTCCAAAGGGTTTACAAGAACCTTATTTATTTTACTATGACAGTCCATCATGGCAATCTAAGCACCTGCCATACTTTCCTACATGCTTGGCTATGGTTGATTACAGATGTCTCTTTGTAAAGGAGCTTTTCTCCATATTCTATTTTTTAATCACTTGACATACTTTTTTCCACTCATTTAAATATTTAGTAGTTCTTAAGGAAGCTGTTTTGAATGTAAGCTACATGTAATAATCATTATTTGGGTTCTATATTGGAATATGATAAGAACATATCAAGTGATCATCAGAGCACTAATGCTCATTTTACTACAACCTTTGAAAAATGCTTTCATATCCAGCCAAGATCTGTTTGTCCCTAAGCCAACTCATTTCCCCCTTGAGCTTAATCTGTATGGTTTCATTTTTTGGTACTTGACCTACTTCATAGAAGTGTCCTCAAATGGAACTAAATTAAGTACAAACAAACCAAAGCCTCACTCCCCATTTCTAAATCTATGAGAAATCATTTAAAATCATTTAGAAAATAACAGTCTCCTTAGAGACAGCTTGAACCATCCCATTGTGCTAATTTGCAGGTTGTGTTATACTTTACATTTAATCCCAGCAATATCATGGTATATCATAGTCTAAATTATATGTGTCCCTTAGATAAAGCAATACATATATTTGTCATATAATGAGGCAGAAGGAGTCAAGCATGCTGTGAATGGTAGCTGAGATGTTTGGGGTGCACTGCCTCATAGGAGCACCAAAAACTATGAGCTACTCAAAAAAGCAAGTTTTTCAGTAAAAATTGCCTTACATCCTTAACTATGAAAAGACTGGTTTCTCCACAATGTGTGCACCCAGTATTTAGAACACAGTAAAAGGTACACTCTTGTTTCTACTGTAGCTACTCTCTACAGTGGTTTAAATCTGCTGGAAGTAAATGAAAATACCCGCTTTTGCACCAAGGCTAGGCTAAATACTCAATCAAGTAATCAAAACAGTCTAAACCTCTCCTTTCTTAAATATGCAGCCTCCTCCTCTTGCTGGAGATATATTCACCACCATCCTTCTGTATTCCCGTGTTTGACAAGGTATGTAGATGATCTCCTCCCTCAATTCGAACAAGCTTTTATCAGATATAAGAGGCCCAACTCCTTCAAATTCAAATCTACTATTCAATGGATACATCAACATGTGCAATTAATTCTCAGCAATAAACTCTAGCACATATCATGCTCTGGGGTGCACCCGGGACCACAGCATGTTGAACCAGGTCAGAGCAGCCCTGACTGGTAGAAGGTCCAGTGGGTCAACCTGCAAGCCCAAGGCTGCTCCAGCTCAGATCAACATGTTCCAGAGGCTCTCGGTGAAGCACAAGGGTGCTCTAGTGTGGGGCTAGCCAGAAGGCAGCAACCGCATTGAAGCACCCTTGTGCCCCAGCCAATTAAACCAATGTCTACGTATGCATTGCTGCACACAAAAAAACTCCAAAGCAGAAGTTTCTTAGTTTTGTGCACTCTAATAGAGGTGCACGTTTAAACACCAAGATATTTACTGTGGAGCTAGTTGGGCAATTCAGCAATAAACATCTTGTGTAGATGTGCCCAATGTGACTTTATTTAACTTACTAAGTAGCAATTGTGACACAGGTAAGAGACTTCCAATGTGATTAAAAATCATATAGGCCCCAACATAATTTGAAAAAAGGCAGGAAGTAAAGTTTTTTAGGGGAAGAAGAAGGTTGTAGTATGTAGTCACAAAGAAATGAGGAGTCTTTAAGAAAAGAACACAGGAGCATTTAATCACACATTTCTAATTCCAAGAGAGAGAGAGAGAGCACTAAGTCAATCTTTAAGAGACTTAATTGTGAGGTAGGAAAAATATATATGCAACCTCAACTGCTTCTCCCAACCCCAATTTAAAACATTTTAGGAAAAAATATTTTACACTATTCTTTCTCTCTCATTTCTGCTTCCAGTCCTCATTTTTGCGAAGTGGTATGTGGAAGAATGCCACTAAATACCTAGCAGCACCTATGCTGTTTGAGAAGGCACCATGCAGTGCTATATTTTACCTTTTATATTTTACATGTCTTACCAAATGAATCTAGTGAATCAAAATTTAAATAAATTCCTGCTGATACCCTTCCATTTTTATATAACACAGCCTATTATG